GGGGCTGGCAGTGCTTCCGCCGCCTCAAAGGGCTCTACCGGCACCGACATCTCAGCCAGCAACGTTGCACTCCCTTTACTCCCCACAACAAGCAGCTGCTGACAGGAGCGTATCCGCCGCTGTGCCTCCTGCATCAGGAAAAACCCCTCCAGTGCCGTCATCCCTTCAGGTCATATCCCTGTCCGATATATGCAAATTGGCCACCTGGTCCTCTCCTCATACATTTGCTGCTCACTATGTCTGGACTCATACATGTCCAGAGAAACTGTGTTCGGACATGCAATCCTTACCACGGTCCTAAAGGACATTACACTGTCCAAAGCTCCCATCTCCAGCGGATAAACTGCTTGTAGTCACCTAAGGTGGAGCACCCATAGGGACACTCGGAGGAGAAGGAGGAGGTTGCTCACCCTCTGCAGTAATGGACGTTCTTCTAGATGGGTGTCCCTGTGGGTGCTCCACCACCCACCTTTCCTCCCTCTGCTTCAATATTATTTCCATACTTTCCCGAGGCAGAGAAGGAACTGAGGTGACCATATCTCGTTCATGCGCAGTAGCCGCCTAGCACATGTAACGCTTCTGTGCATGTACAAGCTAGCTGTCAAAGCCACTGCTAGTAAAATCTTCTGGCCAGGCACACTGTGGCGCCAAAACACCTATGATGGAGCACCCACAGGGACACCCATCCTGAAGAATGTCAGTTACTGCAGAGGGTGAGTAACCCTCTTTTCTTATCTATATATACTAACATTTGCACTAAACAGTAACTTTTTTGTGTATTTCCAAAGACAGCCCATAAAAAAGATGATTTGCACGTGGAAAGTTGGTCAAGGTTCTTCACTTCTCCCATCTAAAACTAATCTATGTCCCTTTATTAATTAACTGTTAGCTGTGCTTTTGTTTCCCAGATGTATTCAGAAGGAAGTGATATTATACCTCAGAGCAATGAGACTGCTCTTCAATATTTCAAGAAAGCTGCTGATATGGTATGTTTTCTTTACTCACGAGTTAGAAATATAAAGGCCATATCTTCTCAAAGTGCTTGTTTCACAGAAGTCTCCCTTTGATTTCATATTTTGTAACTAAAATAGCTAAAAAATCATATGTAAAGTATTTTACAAACACAGACTATTTCATAGTAATAGAGATGTAGCCGTGTTAGTCTGGTATTGCTGAAACAAAAGGCAGGATTATGCAGTACTTTAAAGACTAATAAAATGGTTTATTAGGTGATGAGCTTTCGTGGGTCAGACCCACTTCCTCAGATCAAATGGTGGAAGAAAATTGGCATGACCATATATACCAAAGGGAAAGTGCTGCATAGACTATTTCATGAGTCCTAAACATTAGCTCCTGACCACAGTGCTTCGTAGAGTCTGTTCAGCTCAACAGATGCAATGCTTCTCTTATGACCTGCAACTATTGAATCTGTTTTAGATGTTTAAATACATCTCTAAATTTCCCTTGCAATTTGTGCTTATGTGTGTGGTACTCCCCTACGTGGTTGTGTAGCATAGCTATAAATTGAACTGCTATGGTGTTCTGTCATGGGCTGCAGATTGTGTCTCTTGTCCATGCACTTTAAAAACAACTATTAAAAAATGAGTGGCCCTGTGACACCTTAGAGACTATGAAAAATATACGTATAGTATCATGAGCTTTTGTGGACAAAAACCCACTACTTCTGGCTATTCTAGAGAGGTTGTTGTAACGTAGGGCCCCAAGGCTATTCCTGCACTGGGGCTCCTCCAGCCCTCAGAGTGACTGAAAGCAACTTTAGTAACACCTCCCCTTGGCCTACAAATTCTATGCTGTATCAGAGAGGCACAGCACAGGATCTTGGTTCTAATGAAATCAATGAGGTGATAACAGGATAAAGATAGCACAATAGGCACCAAGGGGAGACCAGCACCTTAATACTTAAATTGGGACTCTGATACTTTAACAGACATTTTAATAAACCCTGTAATCTTCAACAGTATCTATTTACTAGAGAGCATTAAAGGGCATATAAAAGAAAATGGTAAAACTTGTAGCCAGCCCCACCTTTTTCCCCTCCTTAAGTGTTTTTCCCTTTGTTGTCAGGGTAATCCTGTTGGGCAGAGTGGGCTAGGAATGGCTTATCTGTATGGAAGAGGAGTTCCAGTGGTAAGTATGAATAGTATCTTGTCAGTCCTGATTGCCTAGTGGAAAAACCAGTCAATTTCTAAAATACCTGGTTGGTGATAGGCAGATATAAGTATTAGGTTACATAACCTTCTTTGCTGACTTTTCCTTGATAGGTAGTCATTTTTAGTGCCATGCAATATTGTAGTTGTTCAAATCCTATTGATATAAGTCATGAAAGTAAAACTCAATTACTGAGAAACATAATACCCCAATATTTTCAAATAACTTGAATTATCAGTGTCTATTAAAGATGTTACTAGTCACAGGACTGAAAAACATTCTTAAAGTACAAAATCTAGTATAAAATCCACCTTTATTTTGTCTTGCAATTAGACACAACTATTCCTTTTTATTTCTTGGTTCAAGGACACACAAGTCTATGTATAGATTCTTGTGGAAATTTGCAGGGACAAATATTTACATCAGTTGGCTTAATAGTGATCTTATGTGCAAGATATATCTTCCTGGAGCTCTAGGTATTCAGCTTTATAAACAGATATATTCAAAATTCAAGGTATGTCTATACATTGAGCTAAACTATTTGAAAACTAAATAGTGCAGCTAAGAGATTCTAGAGCTGTTTTCTCTTGAAACGGTATAGTGTATTGATTCCATTTAGCTAAACAAAATGTCTATGCACAGCACTGCAATCAGCTGTTGCCGTCTCAGAACTTTGTGAATATCCATCTTATAGCTGCTAGCATAGGTTTTTGAAGCAGAGGTTTGTTGGAGAACGTATGAAGTATTTTTGGTGATTTCTTGAGTGTCCTAAAAGACTGAGTTAATATCTCCATGTTCTTCACATGCCAACTAGTACTAGGGAATATTCTACTGTGAGGAGTACATGAAAATTGTAGAAACGTAGGCTGGAATGTCATATAGTCAAGAAGTCCCATGCACTGAGGCAGAAGCTAGTATACTTAGTCCACCCCCAACAGTCATTTGTCTAACCGGTCTTAGAAACCTCCAGTGACAGGGATTACGAAACTTCCTTGAAACACTATTCCAGAATTTAACTCAGGGATTACGAAACTCCCTTGAAACACTATTCCAGAATTTAACTACCCTTATAGTTAGAATTTTTTCCCTAAATCTCCCTTGCTGCAGACTAAATGGAGTACTTTTTGTACTTCCTGCAACACTCCCAGAATGATAGTAACCTTATTCACAACTTCATCATATTGTTGTTTTGCACAACAGAACTGTTCTTTGTGTTTTATATGTAACTCTTCTACGTAGCTGAATAAAAAGCATAATGTATTTATTCTCCTGTTGTCAGCAAAAATATATCCTATTAGATTTTATGGGGCATATAATCCATTTTGATTAGGATATAGCTCCTTAGTGTGCCACCTTACTCAGTTCTATAATGACTGGATCTGTCTTCCTGCAGAATTATGAACTGGCATTAAAGTATTTCCAGAAGGCTGCAGAGCAAGGATGGGTAGATGGACAGCTTCAACTGGGCTCCATGTATTATAGTAAGTGGCTTCAGAATGTTGCATTGAGTATTCATTAGATAGTGCTGGGACAATAGGAATGTGTTTTAACATCTGTGAATCAATATTCTCTTTTTATTACAGGAATTTACATCACCTAGCACAATACAGTAAACTTCCAATAATCCAGCACCTTTAAGACCCAGGGGGTGCCGGATTATCAAATATGCCGGACTATCGGAAGGGGGAGCTATGAGGGGTCTGAGGTGGAGTGCGGGAGATCCGCTCCTCGGCGCTGCGGGACCATCCTGGCAGCACCCCAACTGCTCTGCCCCAGACTTCCCCAAGTCAGCTGCTGCTGAAACTGACCAGCGGCTGACTTCGGGAAGCCTGGGGCAGAGAAATTACATTTCCTTTTTAAAAGAGAGAAAATAACTACAGTAACCTTCCGATAATCCAGCACCTTTAGGACCCAGATTTGCCGGGTACTGGAAGGGGGCTATAAGGGGTCTGGGGTGGTGGGGGTCAGCAGGGAACTGCGCAGCCTGGGAGAGGGCGGCGCTGCGGGACCAACCCGGCAGCACCCCAGCCACTCTGCCCAAGGCATCCCCAAGTCAGTTTCAGCAGCGGCTGAATCGAGGAAGCCAGGGGTGGAGCAACTCCAATTGTCCGGCTGCCCGGAGCACTTCTGGGTTCCAGATGGTGCCAGACCATCAGGAGTGCCAGACCATTGGATGCCGGACCAGTGGAGTTTTACTGTATATAGTAAAACAGTTTTCGTGTTCCTTCAGTTTGAATATTGTAGATCTTACCTGATGGTGTTTTTCTTAACAAACTGCCTTTAGCTACTGTTACTTAATTGCTTATATTAAAACATGCAAATACTGTATCCTTCATTTTGATTACAGTGCTGCCTTTTAGGATATTGATTTGCAATGTCTGAATAGTGTTGACCACTGATGTGACTTCTTTCTTTGTAGATGGCATTGGAGTGAAGAGAGACTATAAACAAGCTTTGAAATATTTTAATTTGGCCTCCCAGGGTGGTCATATTCTGGCTTTCTATAACCTGGCACAGATGCATGCCACTGGTACTGGGGTAATGAGATCCTGTCATACTGCTGTTGAGGTGAGGCCTTCTCTTTATAAATTTACAACCCTGGTTAATTTGTAGAGCTGCTTAGGAATTTTTTGATGAGATTATTTTTGTGGAAAGTGGTGATTTGTCAAAACAAAACTGTTCATGAGAGGGGTCAGTTTTGGTCTTAAAAATATGAAAAACATCTTGCCTTGATGTTTTTGAAATACAAATTCCAGGGCTTATTGTTTGAAATTGTGTTTTGTTTTTAAATTTATGCTAATTAAAAGTTGGGGCAAACTGAAGCAGTATTGCAATGACTCCAACCAATTTTTTTGAACCTCTTGTGAAAATCTTCAAGATGTTTACTTTGTACCCATACAGGCTAAGTGAATTTTCAAATTCTTAAACGTTCTTGGGACAGAAAAGGGTTTTCCATCCAGTTCTATTAATTTGCATAACTGAGTGAAATTTATTGTGTAAGTAGGCTGCAACTCAAGTTAAAATCTGTGGAGTTGTACACTTCTCCCCTCACCCACTAATGTTGAATTTTGCCTGTTGTTTTTAGACCCTTTGTCACAACATAACTGGATAAATTAACAAGCACCTGTATATTTGATGGCATGATCCCTAGAGTCTATGTCACTCTGGAAGGGAAGGCTGAAAGTGTTGCAATACCATCACTTGAATTGGGGGGAGGGGAAAATGAGGTAATGTTTAATATCAGAGAAAACAATAAAGATGGTAGTCCTCATTTTTTAAAAAACTGAGTTTTCCATCAGGGAAGGGCTTCAAGATTATCTTAAAAACAGAGAGCTAGAAACAGCTTAAAAAATAAAGCTGAGATTCTGAAGTAGCATATGGATTCTGACACAGATTTTGTGGAATATGTGGGTCCTATGCACAAACACATGCAATACAGATAATTTTGAATTCTAAACAGCTCTTTATTAAAAGAAACAAGAAAGCTGGTAACAGTAAAGTTGTAATTTGTCCTTGTGCTGCTTTGCCTGGGACTTGTATTCACTTCGCTTGGGTTAGCCGCTTATTCGTCACGCTGGCTGACATATGGACCTCCTAGAACAGAGACTGCCTTTTGGAGCTAGAGTTAAACTAAAAAAAACCTAGTGTTTTACTGGTTTATTTTGAGGCTTTTAGTGTGCTGTTAAGCCTGTTAAGCCATTTAGGTCTGTTTTCTGTGTTTCCTTCTGTTTCCACAATCCTTACTGTCCATTTAAATAAACGTTTATCTCTTCATATTCTTTAAACTATAAGCTTCTGAGGACAGTCATGATAATTGTGTGTTCTCTCTTTTCCTACAGTTATTTAAGAATGTATGTGAACGAGGGCGCTGGTCTGAGAGACTCATGACTGCCTACAATAGTTATAAAGATGGTGATTCAAATGCTGCTGTGGTTCAATATCTTCTCTTGGCAGAACAAGGCTACGAAGTGGCACAGAGCAATGCTGCTTTCATACTTGATCAGAGTAAGGGGCTGTGCTAATTTGTGTCAAACAGTAGCTCATTGTGGGTTAGTACTGACTGCCTATACTTAACATTCAAAGCATCATCACTAAGCAAGACATACCTAGGATTAAATAGCTGGTCTGAGCTAATAACATTTCTGAAAAAGCAAGAATTCTCCCCCCATCCTGCCTGCCTTGTACACTTAGAAGTTATTACTTCTGTTTCTCTTTTCTTATATAGATATTTTTCTGTTCAGATGTTCATTAACACCCAGAAGTTGGACATACCTCTCTTATGGAAGGAGAGGATAGTGTAGTGAGGCCTAGTTCTTTACTTCTTAGTGAACAGTTCTTATTTTCTAGTCAAGGATAACTGGGTATGACAAGCAGCTGGATGGCTGAGTTCTTTTGTTACACTTAAGAGAACTGCTTAATGATTAAATCAGTCTTTGCTAAAAATGAGTGACCAGAGTAAAGCCAGTTGCAATCAGTAGGGATGTAAAAGGTTAACTGGGAAGCCTTACCCAGTAAGGTTCCGGTTAACTGGTACGAGCTGGAGCAACTCCCTGCCCAGCCCTTTCCCTCCCCACCCTGCTGCAGGTTACACACTGGCAGCTGGCTGCAGAGCCCTCAGTGAAGCCTCCCTGGGAGCAGGGCTGGCAGCAGAGCTGCCTCCCCAGGAGCAGAGTTGGTAGAGGCCCCTGCAGGTCCGGTTCCCGGGGAGGTGGCTTTAAGCTTTATGCTGCAGAGCCCACAATGTGTGTAACTGCTAGAATTTTTAGCTGTTACACCAGGAGTGGGCAATAATTTTTTATAGGGGTGCACTCCAAGAATTTGGAAAGTGGTCACGGGCCACACTCTTCCATGATATTAATGGAGAAGGTGTGGGATCTGGGATGGAGGTTAGGTGTAGAAGAGAACCTGGGGTAAGGGAGGGAGTTTGGGCGAAAGAGGTGGTTGTGACCTTGGGTACTGGGCTGGGGTGCAAGGGGTTAGATTGTGACCTACAGCAAGGAATTGGGGTACCGTAGAGGGGGCAGGAGATTGAGGGGCAGGGTTTTGGGTTGTGAGCTAGGGCAGGAGGGGGCTGTGATCTGGGAGGGGATATGGGTGCAGGAGGTGGGTAGAATTTAGGTTTGTGGAGTTGGGGGGCAGAGAGTTGGGAGAGGTAGGGATTGGGGTACCAGAGGCAGGCGCTGATCAGGAGATTTATCAGCCAGCAGCCCAGCACTTTGCTGCAGCCTATGCAGGGATGGACACGCAAGGGAGGCTGCTTCAGGAATGTGGTCTGTGAATAATTACCAGCCCCGAGGGGAGGGGGCATGACACTTGCATGTCCATCCCTGCATAGGCTGCAGCAATGTGGTCTGTGAATAATTACTAGCCCCGAGGGGAGGGGGCATGACACTTCTTGGCTGCCTGTTATTGAAACAGGCAGCTCCCATTGGCCAGTTTCTGGCCAAAAACCAGCCAATGAGATTGTGTTGGGGGCAGGAGTAGCTCCTAAAGCCTTTCCCCCTCCCCTCAGGACTCACAGATTTTAAAGTGAAACTGCCTGGCATCCGCGTTGCTTAGCGACATGTGAGTGGATCAAGGCATGCAGAAGGCCTGCCTGGGGCTCTCCACAGCATCCACAGGCCGTATCTGGTGGCTTGGCTGGCTGGATTCAGCCCGTGGGCCATATTTTGCCTAGGCCTGGGTTACACGGTTACATTTTTAACCACATTTTTACATCCCTAGTTATCAGGGCGTATTAGAAGTATAGAGAGGCTGCTTTTTTTTTGTTTGTTTTAAATCTAGACATTTACCAGATAGCACAAGAACCCAACATTTAAGTTTTGGATATCAAATACAACTGCTATAGGCTTTGTGCAACTAATGTACTAAGCAAGCAAGCCAATTGGCTGCTAGTAGACTTCATAGTTCTTGTATTTTTTCAGAGTCCATTTTAATGTTGCTAAAAGGTGCCATACTGAGTACCTTGATGGCTGCAATATCAAGAGAGACTACAACAGTAGCAGAGCAATTAGGAAGCTTGTTTTGGCAGTATGTACCAATCTTTTTCTAGAAGACAACTCCTCAGAGTAAAAGGGCAAGTTTCCATGGACTCTGAGGCTGCCATTTGAGGTGTCCCTCCTGTGATATGATCACATGTCCATTAGGGACTAGATTGATGCTAATTCATTTTATATGGGGTATCAATTGCTGCCACATAATATTTCAAATGTGAAATCAATAAGTTGAAAGAATTGGAAATAGAATATTAATCTTTCAAACTATGCAGTACCTCCACAGTGCAATGCTATATCAACAAAACCCCAAAATTTCCACATAGATCTGACATGGATTCTAGCACTGCAGACTATGTGTGTAATTGTTTAGATCCTATCTCGTGACATGGATTCTAGCACTGCAGACTATGTGTGTAATTGTTTAGATCCTATCTCGTGACATGGATTCTAGCACTGCAGACTATGTGTGTAATTTGTTTAGATCCTATCTCGCCAGCCATGTTTGGAGGTTACACACTTTTGAAACTTGTACCCTGAATTAAAATAATGAAAATTATTCAATTCCTGTGTTCAAAAACAGTGCTTTTTGAGGCCAGATTTTTAAATCTGTCCGACTTCCACTGAAAACAATAGGAATTATTGAGTACTAAGATGTTCCTGTGTTCAAAAACAGTGCTTCGTGAGGCCACATTTTTAAATCTGTCCTACTTCCACTGAAAACAATAGGAATTATTGAGTACTAAGATCTTGAGGGTGGAAATAATCTGACTTCTATATTAGATGCCTGCCTACATGGGAGCTAAGATTTTGATATCTAGTTTCATTAAAGTACTCTGGAAAATCTGGCTCCTAAATAATCTGGTTCCTGCATCACACTATTCCAGCCCCTATTAGAGTAACAGCATCTGTTATCAGTAACACAAAATGTCTACAAGAGAAATAAACATTATATTGTAACTTGTGGTGTGTTTTCTAACTTGTGATCCATTCTGCAAAGAAATTATAGTGCTATTATAGTTATTAAAAAGGTAGATTTAGTTGAGTTGATCATTTGCAGAGCACAGAAAGTCTGTGCAGTTGCCTGTCACATACTGTAATAAGAACAGGCTGCTAATGAAGCCTCATTGTTACCATTGCTTGTGGCATTCTGAAGTGGATAGTGACATTTCTTATAGTTTGGGCAGGAGGTGTTCATAAGGATTTTTGGAGTGCTTTAACAGTTTCTATAAAATATTTATATAACAACTTAAAAACTACAGTTAATATTCTTGGTACATCAACTGGCGTATTCCTCTGGAATTTTATTTTGTTTTGTAGTTGGACACAGATGGTTACATAAAAGAATAGTTTTATTGTCTGCGTGAATATAGTTATGCAGTAAGCACTTGGGTGTTCCTTGTAAAGTGGGTTTTAGCAGCATGTAAGCGCTATTTGCAGAGCACAGTGAGCTAGATCACCATATCCAGATGAGATGTGTTCAGCACAAGATCTGGAGTGTGGCATATGTCTGCTTCCCTTATCCAAGAATTGAACTGGCCTAAGTTACTCCAGCTAGAGGAATCTAGAGAATGTTGTTCCATTCATGGATTGTTCCTTTGTACCTTAGGTCTACATGGGAACTTTGAAAAGGGCATGGAAAGGGAGGGATAGATGAATCTACAGCACCTTTACATCATGCAAAAATGCTGACCCCTTTGTAGCACAAGAGCAGCACAGAAAGGAAAGAACCAGAGATCAGAATCTGACTCATGATCTCTGATGCACAGCACTTAATCCAGCTCAGCAAAGGATTTTGTAAATGGTGAACATGGACGCTGACATGCGTGCAGTCAGGAAGACAGTATGGAGGTTGTGTGCCCCATTCCTGAATGACTTAATTAGTTCCTTTGTTTTCCTGCAGAAGAGGCCAGCATAGTAGGAGAGAATGAGACTTATCCCCAAGCCTTGCTGCATTGGAATAGAGCTGCCTCCCAAGGTGAGTCATCTTCAATGACAACAATTTTATTTTGAGCACCTTGTTTGGTTTCATTATCTTTAGGATATTAGTTCTCTCCTTTGGAATAAAAAGTGCAGTATCCACAGAACAGTTATATTCTGGGTCGTTTCTAGACCAAAGTATTTTGCTGTCTGTTCAGGACTTACTCTTTATCTAGTTTGATATATACGAAGTAGCTCACAGACTACTTGACTCTTGTGGGGATTAGAAGACATTCAATGACTTGCAGCTCAGTAGTCTTACACTTGTCACCTACCTTATAGCCATTTCTATGAGGAAGACTACAACTCCCAGTGATTTCCCTTCTAAATCTCTTCTTTGAAGGATTTATAATTATTTTGTCAATAATCAAAGTATTCTAATCTGTCTCAAATCTGTTAAATAGTCCTTTATTTGAATGCACATAAAAGCTCACTGGTTTGGAGTACATCTCTTGAGGGTCATGTTTTCCTACAGCTAAAAGAACAGATTTAATTTCCACAAATCTGTTTTACTGGCCAGTGGCCAAGATTAGAGGAAATCCTGGTGCTGAGAGAGAGACTGTGTGAGAAGGAAAAGGCAAGTATTAAAGATTATTTTAGATGGCACATTGTACCAAGCATATATTAGTTTAACTATCTGTGAACTGATCCTTGGAGTTCATAGGATCCTTCAAGTTCATAATGCTTGGTGTAAGCATTAACAGTGAAATATGTAGGCTCGCTGGAATTCCAGAGTCAAATCCCTACAAGCTTGAGTCAGCCTTCCATTCTTTCAAGCTAGAATGCCATGCAGCTAACTATGATGACAGTCTCTGGAAAGGGCCCTTATAAACTGAAGCACTGTCTGCACAGTGTAGTCACTGACCATCCAAAGAGATTTACTTGTGTGTGTTTGGGGAAACTTTCCTCTCCACATCAAATATGCTCTGTAGTGCTTACCTAGTGCCCTTCATCCCCAAAATAGGTGTTCTTCAAAATAGGTGTTCTTAGAGAGACAAGGTGGGTGAGGTAAAATACCTTTTAGTGGACTAACTGCTATTGGTGAAAGACAAGGTTTTACGCTTCAGTAAAATACTGCCTCACCACTTTGTCTCTCCAGTATCCTGAGACTGACACAGCTAAAATACACAACATATGATACCACCATTGGTGGTTCCATTTGTGAGACATTTGGGGAGCCTTCAGGATGAAAGGCCTTGTATAAATACACTTTTTTTCAGGATAAAAACTTCAGTTACCACTCAAACTCCCATTGCAAAGTATGAAATTATACCTGGGGCTTAAACAACTTAATATTGAAGTGACAATTCCAAATTATCTGTCTCAATATTGACTTCCTTTTTTAAGACTAGCTAGAAGCATTGTCTACAGGTTTGCTATCAGTTGTTATAAACAATGCACTTCTATTTGACTACTTAGACCTTCGCTCTTTGGCAGTGTGCCTCAATTACAGCCATCAGGGCCAACCACCAGCATAGTTGCAAATGCCTGACACAAAAGTTAAATCACAGTTAAAATATCCTTTGGCAGTGTGCCCCAATTACAGCCATCAGTGGCCAACCACCAGCCTGGCACAAAAGTTAAATCACAGTTAAAATATGACTAAACTGTGTTGATACAACATATTCTAATTCAGACAGGAGTAAGCTCCACCATTCCAAATTGCCTTTTCTGAATAAGGGTTTGCACAGATGCAGCTTATGTCACAAATGAGTCAAACAGACAAGCTTGCAGAGTAGACAGGGCCTATGTTGGCTTAGTTAAGTAGAGGCTGTGAAAAATTTCACCCCTTATGCTATGTACTTAGCTGCATCTACCATGAAGGTGAGGTTGACCTATGTTGATGAAGAATTCTTCCATGGCCTGGCTGTTGGCTCTGGGAAAAGTGCATTTACTACAGCAATGGAAATCACCTTCTGTTGCTGTAGGTAGTATTTAGGCTACAATGGTACAAAAGTGTAGTTGCATCTGTGCTGCAGTAGCATTTATAGTGTAGACATGCCAAAAGTCTTTAAGCATGTGGCACAGCTCTACATTGTTGGCTCCAACAAAACACTGGAAATGTGGAAAAATCGATGTATGAAAAGGACTAACACATCAATCCATTTGGCAGTTATTTTTTTGAGAGAATTGAAACTGCAATGAGCTCAAACTGTGAAAGTGAAATGAGCTCAAACTAAAGGGTAACAAGAAAACTTTATGTAAATATATTAGAAGCAAGAGGAAGACCAAGGACAGGATAGACCCATTGCTCAGTGAGGAAACAGTAACTGGAAATTTGGAAATGGCAGAGGTGCTTAACGACGACTTCGTTTCAGTCTTCACCAAGAAGTCTGATGAAGGAATGCCTAACATAATGAATATTAGTGGGAATTGGGTAGGTTTACAAGATAAAATTAAAAAAAGAAAAGTTAAAAATCACTTAGAAAAGTTAGATATCTGCAAGTCACCAGAGCCTGATGAAATGCATTCTAGAGTACTCAAGGAGCTGATAGAAGAGGTAGCTGAGCCTTTAGCTATCATCTTTGAAAAATCATGGAAGACAGGAGAGATTCCAGAAGACTGGAGAAGGGCAAATATAGTGCTCATCTATAAAAAGGGAAATAAGACCAACCCAGGAAACTACAGACCAGTAGTTTAACTTCTGTGCCAGGAAAGATAATGGAGCAAGTAATTAAGGAATTCATCTGCAAACACCTGGAAGATAAAGAATGGATCATGTCAAACCAATCTGATAGCTTTCTTTAGTAGGATAACAAGTCTTGTGGCTAAGGGAGAAGCGGTAAACGTGGTATACCTAGTCTTTATTGAGGCATTTGATATGGTCTCGCATGATTTTCTTATCAATGAAATGGACAAGTGTAACTTAGATGGGGCAGCTATGGTGTGGGTGCATGAGTGGCTTGAAATCTGTTCTCAGCGAGTGGTTATTGACAGTTCACAAGCCTGCTGGAGTGGCATAATTGGTGGGGTTCCATGGGGGGGGGTCTGTTTTGGGGCCGATTCTGTTCAGTGTCTTCGTCAACGATTTAGATATTGGCATAGAGAGTACGCTTATTAAGTATGAAGCTGGGGGGGGTTGCATCTGTTGTGGAGGATAGGATCATAATTCAAAACGATCTGGACAAACTGGGGAAATGGTCTGGGGTAAATAGGATGAAGTTTAATAAAGACAAATGCAAAGTACTCCACGTAGAAAGGAACAATCAATTTCACACATACAGAATGGGAAGTGATTGTCTAGGAAGGAGTACTGCAGAAGGGAATCTAGGGGTTATAGTGGACCACAAGCTAAATATGAGTCAACAATATGACACTGTTGCAAAAAAAGCAAACATGAGTCTGGGATGCATTAACAGGAGTGTTATGATCAAGATACGAGAAGTCATTCTTCCACTTTACTTTGTGCTGATCAGGCCTCAATTGGAGTCTTGTGTCCAGTTCTGGGCACCACATTTCTAGAAAGATGTAGAGAAACTGGAGAAGGTCCAGAGAAGAGCAACAAGAATGATTAAAGGTCTAGGGAACATGACCTATAAAGGAAGACTGAAAGAATTGGACTTGTTTATTTTGGAAAGGAGAAGACTGAGCGGGGACATGATAACAGTTTTCAGGTATCGAAAATGGTGTTACAAGGAGAAGGGAGAAAAATTGTTCTCCTCAGCCTCTGAGGATAAGACAAGAAGCAATGGGCTTAAACTGCAGGGTGGTCAAACACTGGAATAACTTGCCTTGGGAGATTGTGGAATCTCCATCTCTGGAGATATTGACGAGCAGGTTATATAGACATCTATTAGGGATGGTCTAGATGGTACTGGGTCCTGCCATAAGGGCAGGAGACTGGACTCAATGATCTCTTGAGGTCCCTTCCAGTTCTAGTGTACTATGATTCTATGATGCTATTTTTTCCCCCTTAGCAAGCTGGGGAGGAGGGAGGGAGTATATTTTTAAATTAGCCAGTATAAGGACACTGTAAGGTAAAATATCTAAGAAAAAAAATTGCAAGTAAAAGGGTACTCATGCCATTATTCGACACCTGAACGTATTGTATAGCTTTCCGAGCATCTTCAGTTTGTCTTAAACGGCAGTTATTTTGCGGATACTACTGTGAATATGGAACTTATCCCTTAATCATTTTACTACTGTGAACTCTTACATGAAAGCAGGACAGTTCAGCTGCTGATGTTCTTATGAACACCTTAGGAATAAAAGATTGTGTTCTCATTATGCAAAAAGAAAAATAAAGCAAATGATGTGATGTCTAAGACATACTGAAATTAAATGCTTTACTAGAAATCGTCAGTGCATTCTTAAATGAAACTGAAAGCACACTGCGCATATCTCACTTGTCTCTTACACTTGTACTGTCTTTTCTCTAATTAGGTTACACTGTTGCTAGAATTAAGCTTGGAGATTACCATTTCTATGGCTTTGGTACTGATGTTGATTATGAAACTGCATTTATTCACTACCGCCTGGCATCAGAGCAGCAGCATAGTGCCCAAGCCATGTTTAACCTGGGATACATGCATGAGAAAGGACTGGGCATCAAACAGGTGAGCACAATAATTGTTATGAGTAATTGGTTCTATTCAAAGTATTATTAATAAATATATTTGTATTACAGTAATATCTACAATCCTCGACTGAGATCAGTCCTTGCTGTAGTAGGTACTATATGCTAGCTTTATAAAAGACAGTCCCTGTTTCTGGGTATGTCTACACAGCAAAATTATTTCAAAATAACAGCTGTTATTTTGAAATTATGCAAATGAAGCCCGGGAAATTCAAATCCCGGGCTTCATTTGCAAGTGCGGCATGCTTACATTACCCCGCTAGTTCGAACTAGCGGGGTAGTGTAGACATACCCTATGTGAGCATCTACACAGCAAGCCCATTATTTCACAATAATATCGGAATAACGGGCATCTTATTACGGATTCTGTAACCCTCATTTTATGAGGAATAGTGCCTATTTTGAAATAGCTATTTCATAATAGGGTATGTGTAGATAGGGCAGCTGGAATTATTTAGAAATAACAGATCTCCAGGCCTTCTCACAAGTGCCCTTCTGGCTACTCTGTCCACACTCATCAGAACTGTGTAATCCCCCTTCCCCTGCAGTACTAAAGGTACAGCCAGAGGGAAAAGGGCTTGTGGCACAAGGCAGGCCCTGAGAGCCCTGAGACACAGAGCAGAAGGCTGCACAGCTTTTGAAGCTGCCGTAAGTGACCCCATTGCTCCCACTGAGCCCTCCACTGCTACAAGGAAGCTGGCAGCCAGCTCCCAGGACCCTGCCTAGGGATGAAAGAAGCGTGCGCCTTCCTGGTCTGGTCTGGAGATCCTGGACCTCATTGAGGTCTGGGGAGACGAGGCAAACCTCCAGGATCTCTGCACCAGGTGCATGAATACAGATGTCTATGGCCGGATGGTTGATGGCCTGGGCAACAAGGGCCACATGCGCACCCAGGAGCAGGTGCGCATGAAAAGGTGCAGTAGGCCTATGCCAGAGCCACAGTGCCCAATCAGGGGCAGACCCAGACACCTGCCCCTATTTTGATGTCCTGGACCACATCTTGGGGGGCGAGATGGTCTGTGCCCCCCAGATGGTCATCGACCCTGGGGCAGAGGGCCCTGATCAGGGCATGGAGGAAGAGGAAGGGGAGGAGGAGGGCCAGGAGCCCAGAGGGAGTGTGCCGCGCAGCCAGGACCCCCGATCCGTCCCAGCAAGCCTTTCACTAGTGTCGTCTGAGCATGGGGAGGCAACAACATGTGAGTGCCATCACTGTCCCCTTATGCAGTGGTGGGAGGGGAGGAAGACCAGGAACTGCGCGCGTGGGCCTTGGTGACCACGGATCACACAGCAACCCTGTGCTTGTGCTGTGCCACCCCCGGGCACGTGGCCGCAGCTGGCTGCCACATGTAGAAGCTGTAGAAACCATTTTCATATTTAGCTAGAAGCCATCTTGTATATCAGAAACCATTTCAGCTTTTCTCTCAAGCACGTAGACCAGAGTGAACTTTCTGTCACCCCGTGAGAAGAGGCCTACAGGATGGGCTATTGGTATGTGTTAATTGGGCTGGTTGGGACAGGAGATGTACTCCCTCGCACCTGTCCGCCATCTTGTTGATAAGGCTTTGTGTTTCCAAATTTAATTGAGGATTTCTGTAATTGGATGCCCTGACGTCAGACTGTTTGGTTAAGGGTATAAAGATACTAGGATTGATTGTATTAGTAGCCTTACTGGGTCTGGCTCTGCTGTGACCACGTTTGGCTCATGCTGTGCTTTATTAATTAATAAAGCTGCTTGTTAGCTGCCTAAACACAAAGGAGCGTGTTTTTGCTTCGACAAAGGTTCACTGGCTATCTAGAGGAATAATAATTTTAAGAAATGTCTAGTCCCAAATTTCACTGAAGCCGGCACCTTTAAAAATTGTTTTTTTTTTAAATTTATTTAGATGCTGAAATATGTAGACGTACCTTCAGAGTGCCTACAATACGAATAAACCAGACTGACAAAGGGTAGAAGGAAATATCATTATCCCTATTTTGCAAATGGGGAACTGAAGCACGGAGAAAATGACTTTGACTTAAAGTTGGAAAATGTCTATGACAGAGGCAGGAATTGAACCCAAATCTTCTGGGCTAACACATCCAAATCTTCCTAGGGGATTTAAGAAGAAATAATTAGGTGTGAAGATCCTTTAGACATTTTTTAAATATCAGTCCAGAATGCCTATCAGTGCTTTAACCATAAGATTATCCTTCCACTCAGACATCATGTTCAGATGTTCTGGAGAATAGGAATGTAAGCAATTAATTGACTATGGGACTCTGTTCCGGGCACAAGGATTGTTAGGAAGAGATGGAATCCACCTAACAAAGAGAGGAAGGAGTGTCTTCGCGGGCAGGTTTGCAAACCTAGTGAAGAGGGCTTTAAACTAGGTTCCACAAGGATTGTTAGGAAGAGATGGAATCCACCTAACAAAGAGAGGAAGGAGTGTCTTCGCGGGCAGGTTTGCAAACCTAGTGAAGAGGGCTTTAAACTAGGTTCGTTGGGGGACGATGACCAAAACCCTGAGGGGAGTGGAAAAGTCGGATACTAGGAAGAAATGCAAAGAGGAACGAGCAAGAAAGGAGGACCCCTGATTCGAATGGAGAAGATAGGGTGATCAACTGGTTATCTGAGGTGTTTGTACACTAATGCGAGAAGCCTGGGCAACAAACAGGAAGAACTGGAGGCCCTGGCCCAGTCCAAGAAATATGATTTTAATTGGGGTAACAGAGAATTGGTGGGATCACTCGCATGACTGGAGCGCTGTCATGGAAGGGTATAGACTGTTCAGGAAGAACAGGCAGGGGAGAAAAGGAGGAGGAGTTGCACTATATGTAAGAGAGCACTATGATTGCTCTGAACTCCAGTATAAAGAGGGAGAAAAACCTGTTGAGAGTC